GTGTTCCTATGCAACAATTTTGCATGTTCTTCACATGTACCCCAAAACCTAAAATGCAATAAAATAAATAAATGGGGAAAAAAAAAAAAAAGAAAGGAGAGAAGGAAACCACTTCACAATCGCTGGTCTGGCCATGGCCTGTGCTGGGTTTTTATGAAGCTCTTCCTTTTAATGACGTAACGACCCTTTGGTAGATATAATCCCCATTTACCTGAAAAAGAAACTGGGCCTTGACTGGCAAGTAATCTGATGAAGATGACAAACTACTAAGTGGCAGAGGCTCCTGATTCTAGCTGTACTGGCATCTCCACTTAGATGTCACCAAGGCCAAGTCAGGCTCAACAAATCTAAAATGAGCTTAAGGCTGGGTGCAGTGGCTCACCCCTGTAATCCCAGGCCTCTGGGAGGCTGAGGTAGGAGGGTTCCTTGAACTCAGGAGTTCAAGACCAGCCTGGGTAACATGATAAGACCCATTTCTACAAAAAATTCAAAAATTAGCTGAGCATGGTGGCATGTGCCTATGGCCCCAGGTACCTGGAAGGCTGAGGTAGGACTGCTTGACCTCAGGAAGTTGAGGCTGCAGTGAGCTATGTTCATGCCACTACACTCCAGCTAGGAAACAGAGCTAGACCCAGTCTCAATAAAAATAAAAATAAAAAACAAAATGAGCTTAAAACCTTCTAGTTCTAGCCAGGTGTGGTGGTGGGCACCTGTAATACCAGTTACCTGGGAGGCTGAGGCAGGAGAGTCACTGGAACCCAGAAGGTAGAGATTGCAGTGAGCAGAGATCATGCCACTGCACTCTAGCCTGGGTAACAAGAGCAAAACTCTGTCTCAAAAATTAAAAAAAAAAAAAACGATTTCTTCACCAGGACTTCGCAGCTCATGCATAGGTATCACCACGCATCCAGCAACCCAAACCAGAAACCTAGGAACCGTCCTCAACTTTTCCATTCCCCTCCTATTAAGTCTCCCTCTTTTTCATTTCTCAGGCCCGGTCCACCTCCGGTTTCTGTCACTGCCTCAGGGCAGGCCCTTGCCATTGCTCACCTAGACTATCCCAGTCATCTCCTAAGTGGTCAAAAGCCATGCAGTTCATTGGGCACACTGCTTCAGGAGTGATCTTTGCAAAATACATGTGTAACTGTGTGGCTTTACCTTTAAAACCTTTCAGCAGTTCCTTATTTTTCTCAGACAAGATCCAACTTCTGACATAGCATGAAATGCCTTTGACTAACCCTCCCTTCTCCATGCTGCCTTCATCAGCACAGCCCTGCCTCCAACCCAAAAATCTTACCCTCCAGCCTCCTGCAGCTGTACCACGCTCTCACCATTTGCCTTGCTTGAGCTGCTGCCCACCCTGCCGGGAGCACCTTTTCCTTGTCCTTCCTGCCTCTCAAATCAGGTCTGATCTTTAACTCTGCTCAGATCTTTACCTCTTCCGGACAGTCCTCCCAGGAGAGGCTATGTATTCACCTTCTCTAGTGCTCCCCCAAAGCATGTACCACACCGTACTCACTAGTACTTACTGGTTCCCCCAGTGACTAGTGACCCAAGATTGGGGACTTTGCCAAATGCCCATCACAGTGACTGTGACGTCACTGTGTAGGGGTACACAGCGACATGCACAGAGGAAGCACATCATGAAACCCACTACAGCTACTCTCCTTGACTCCAAGAAATAGTATCAAATCATTAGAATGCCAAATACTTTGGTTGAAGTAATACAAATTCAGCTATTCAAAAAGATGTGGCCATAATAACAGTTAAAAGTGGGTGCTGGCTGGGTGCAGCGGCTCACGCCTATAATCCTAACACTTTAGGAAGCTGAGGTTAGAGAATCATTTGAGGCTGCAGTGAGCTGTGATTCACCTCTGCAGTCGGGCATGGGTGGCAGGGCAAGACCTTGTCTTAAAACAAAGAAAAAAAAAGTGGGGGGTGCTGAGCACTGCAGTACTCACCTGTAGTCCCAGCTATTCAGGAGGCTGAGGCAGGAGAATCCCTTGAACCCAGGAGGCAGAGGTTACAGTGAACCAAGATTTGCGCCACTACACTCCAGCCTGGGCAACAGAGTGAGACTCCATCTCTCCCACCAAAAAAATAAGTAGGGGGTGCTCCTGGAGAGCAGGACAGGGTGGAGGGCGGGGCAGGTGCATGCTGCCTTCACTAACAGCTATTCTGCATCATCCGGCGTTTTACCATGTGCACGTGCTACTTCAGTCAAAACATTTTTTTTTTTAATTTTACGAGTGAAATTTAAATAAGAGTCTCAAAACAAATGAGTTTCAACCGGAAGTTTTTAAAGAAGCCAGAGGGAGAAAGGAAAGAAACAAAATACTTCACTTTGCATCAACTAGGGATCTGAAGAGAACAAGTTAAGCTACTCAAGTTCTAGCAGTGGAATGCGAGGAAGCCAAAAATGCGTGCTTTGTCGCCATCTGGTGCTTTACCAATGGAACGACAACACTGGAGACCCCAAAACCAATGACTATGGTTACTTCTACCTCTATCATTACCTCTTTCTGAGTACTTAAAATGTGTCCAATGCTGTTCTAAGTGCTTTATGAGCATTTCTCATTTAATCCCCAAACAATCTCATGCATCAGGCACTCTTATTACCTTAAGTTTACAGATTAGAAAACTGAGGCATTAGAGAGACAAAGTAACTTGCCCAAAGTCACTCAGCTTTTAATTGGGGGAGCTAGAATTCTCTCGCTCCATAATAGCCTGGCTCTGGTGTCTGAGCTATAAAACCTCTATTTCTCAACAGCCCACTGAAAACGACCTGTTCTGGAGTAAAACAAGCATCATTCCTACACTAATTCTTTGCAACGACATATTGAGGTAAACAGGTCCAGCGTTCTGTGGCTTCAAAGCCCAAGATGTTGATGGCAGAGTTTACACAGGAGCAGACGACCTGAAAACTGCCCCCTAAATGTCCACCCCCGATCTGCTTGCTTCCAACTTTCTGTGCTGTGTTAATACTCCAGTTAATCAAACATCCTCTTGAGCAAAGAACAGCAGTGCTTTCTTCCATCGCATTTTTTCCCCTTACAACTCCCTGAATCTAATCAAATATGGAGTCCCACAGAAAAGACAACAAACCTTTCATCTGCCCTCCCCTGCCCTATTTCCTCCGGAAACAGCTCCCAGTTACTATGGTTGCCTCTCAGACTGGGCTTTGCAAATCTCTTCAAACTTTGTTAGTGTGGTGTGCTGCCCAGGCCCACACCAGATCCTTTCCAACCGGGCCCACCTTTCC